AGAAGACACATGTATTGGCTTGCACTATTAGTGTTGGAACATTAAAACTCAATTAAGTGAACAGCTTGACTCCTCCATTCAGTTAAGCGTTTTGATTTTGTAACTGAACAGAAGTCCCTCTGATCTTGCTTTGCTATTATGACAGCATTCGGTTCTGCAGTGATTACTCTCTTCATAGTTGTAACAACGCTATGCGTAGTATGATTGGGAATTGCAAGGTTGTTTCTTTCAATTCTGTCATGATTTCTACAGGGTGTTTTTTTTTCTAAAGTTTTATTTATTTCTGAGAGACAGCATGAGCAGAGGAGGGTCAGAGAGAGAGGGAGACACAGAATCTGAAGCAGGCTCCAGGCTCTGAGCTGTCAGCACAGAGCCCGAGTGGGGCTCGAACCCAGGAGCCGTGAGCCATGAGATCATGATCTGAGCCGAAGTCGGACGCCCAACCAACTGAGCCACCCAGGCACCCCTATTTCTACAGTTTTTTACTGACACGATCTATTTGGCTATTTGGTTATGTTGAAATATAAATTGATTGGAATGGACAGGAAAATATATCTGACTTTTAGTAATGCACTATTTAATGAAAAATAACTGGAAAATGGTTTCTGTTATCTGAAGAATTCTTTTTTTTTTTTTTTTTTTTTTTTTTTTTGAGAGAGTGTGTACAGGGAAAGGACAAAGGAAGAGAGAAGGAATCTTAAGTAGGCTCCACACTCAGCATAGAGCCCAACACGGGGCTCAGTCCCATGACTTTGGGGTCATGACCTGAGCCAAAATCAGCAGTTGGTTGCTCAACTCTCTGAGCCACCCAGGCACCCCATCATTATACTTTTATCTATATTTCATTTACTTAATATGCTTAGTCTAACATGATTATTTTTTCTGGCGTTTTTTTTTTTTGTCCCCCCACAATTATGGCCAAATACAGCATAATAGTCAGAAGCGTGTGTTTTTCTTTTTTTCTTTTTCTTTTTTCTTTTTTAGAAGCATGTGTTTTTCAGCAAAGCCATAAATCTTTTAAATTTTCCTTTCTTTTTTGGCTCAAGATTTGTGAGAATTATCGTGTGTCTTTCCTGCCTCAATCTTAGAATTAAACATTTCTAGCAGCGCCTGGGTAGCTCAGTCAGTTGAGCGTCTGGCTCTTGATTTCAGCTCAGGTCATGATCCCAGGATTATGGGATCAAGCCCTACACTGGGTTCCACACTGAGCGTGGAGTCTCTCTCTCATAAAAAAAAATAATAATAAAATAAAATAAAAAATAAACATCTTTAAGGATTCTCTGCTCATAATATTGGATATTTAGAGATGACAGTGTAAATGATCAGGGTGCTCTTTGCTATAATAACCTTTTTTCTTTGTAGAGAGAGTGTGTGTGAGAGCAAGGGAGAGGAGCAGAGGGAGGGAGGGAGGTAAGGAGGGAGAGAGAGAGAGAGAGAAAGACAGCATCTTAAGCAGGCTCCACATTCAGTGTAGAGCCTGCCATGGGGCTTGATCCCTTGACTCTGGTATCATGACCTGAGCCGAAATCAAAAGTCAGAAGCTCAGTCAGCTGAGCCACCCAGGCACCCCAACTACTAGCCTTTTTGATATTTTTTTCTATTCCATGAAAATTAACCTGTTTCAGATTTTTGTCCTTTCTAGGATAGTTTTTACTACTTTTACAATTTTAATTTTTTTGTTTGTTCTCCCTTCTTTTATTGATTCGTTTAGCTAGTATGCCATCGCATTGACTTTTTTCCCAAGAGAAACCTTTTTGAATTTATATGTTGATTTTCTTTTTCCAAACTCATTAAATTCTGGTTTTTTATTTTTATTCTTTCTGCTTTCTCCTCACTTAACTTTGATATTTTTTCTAAACATTTTTAGTAAATGTTCATTTAATTCATGTTGAGGTGACTGCTTTTCTCTGGGCATTACTGGCTGGATGTTGTACCTTCTGAAATGTAGTATTTTCATCTTTTGCCTGGTTATATTTCTCTAGTTTCAGTGTTTATTTCCTTAGTATAATAAAGATACTGACTCTAGTTTTTATTTTTGACTGCTGACAGCTTTCAATCCCCACCTCTCCTTCTGCCCCACTTTTGGGGAAGCTGATAAAAAGCCTGAGAGCTTCCTACTTTGGTTCCCATGGAAAGATCAAACCATGCAAACCCCATGCCCAGAAACCCTCAGCCTTGTACCACACTCTAACCAGCATTTAAAAAAAAAAAAACCTAAGTCAGCCTCTTTCAAATTACTCAAGTCCTTTTCAGACCTATTTAGGAACCATTCTGTTCTTTCTAGGAAGCCTCCTTATATGAGTAATAAATCTTTTCACACTTTCCTGATGTATGTGTGTCATCATTAGTCTTAACATCCAAGTCAAAGTGTGTGTGGCTATCCATTCTGCCTCTGCTGGTTATCCACTACATTTATTTATCTAGCATTTAATTAGAGAGCCTTTAGTTTTCTAGATCGAGTGTTTTTGTTTCCTGATGTTGCTGTTATTTTCAGTGTCAGAGTATGTATCATTCCACTTGGGATACACATCCCACAACTGAGTCACAGATAAATACTGTTTGCCCTTGACTGATACCCCATTCATTCTGCATTGATACTCTTGAGTCTTTTTCTGAATCTGGATTATCATCTTCCAGCTTATATCTGATATTTCCTTTTAACAATCCCAGGCACTCTGATACCCTAAAACATTCCTCCACATTATGATTTCTTGATTCTCTCCAGCATCTCCAAATGGAAGGAATTTCTTATTTTATTCGAGTACATATCTGTGAATTGACTAAAAAAGCATCAAAATACTCATCAGGGAAGTAGAAGGATGGCTGGCCTTGAAAATAAGGAAAAGGAAGAGAGGATGTAATAAAAGAGAGGAACCAACACAGATTTAGCACATTTAGAATGGAGGAGGAATATCAGAACTGAAGATAAGTAAGATCAGTTAATTATTTAGTACCTTCGATACCTCAGAACCCTGTAATTCAGTGATGAAAATAGGAAGGATTGTATCTGCTCTTGGGAAAGTTTAGGGAATTGTTTAGAATATCAAATAAGGAGGGAGGCCTGGGTGGCTCAGTTGGGTAAGCCAACTGACTTCATCTCAGGTCATGATCGTGTGGTTCGCGGGTTCAAGACCTGTGTTAGGCTCTGCGCTGACAGCTCACAGCTTGGATCCTGCTTCAGATTCTGTGTTTTACTCTCTCTGCCCCTCCCCTGGTCACACACACACATTCACTCTCTCTCTTGAAAACAGATAAAGATTTAAACATTTTTTAATATCTTTTTTTTCAGACTTATGGAGATTTTATTTAAGTTCTGGTTATGTATTCTGAATTTCATTTGATAATTTTTGAAGTCTTCAATGTTCTGTCATCAACAACAGAAAATTACTATGGTATTTTAATGTTTATCATTACATTTCTATCAGATGTAACACACATTATTGTTATCATTATTCACCAGAAGAACTCCATCCCTCGAGTTGCACATGACCAACTGGCTCTGTAAATTCCTTTTCCTGACCCTTTCAACATACTTCTCCAAGTCCAAGACCTTTCCATTGCACATGATGAATATCAGATCAGCTCATGAGTCAGTTCATTGCATCTTCCATCTCTGTCCTGAGACAAAGACTTCTTGTCTTTGGTCTTGATGCGAAAGTCACTGTTTTGTTCTTGATCTGGAAGTCACTGCTTCCCTAGCATCTCTCTCAAGTCGTGCGATCTTTCTCTCCCCTGTGTCCTATACCACTAGTCCTGTAAGTGAGAATGTTCTCTTTGGTCTCAGGCATATTCAGATAAGACTACATTATTGCAGCTTTGAAACATTTGTCATCATTCTTTGTGAAAGTAATGTGCTGACCCAGGTCACTCCCCTCAGTAGCTACTGACTCACTGTGACTCTTCGCCAAATCAAAATTCTGTCATGTTCATAGTGTTTTAGTTCCTATACAGATGATCCGTGCAATACTCCTAGCTTCAGAATATCAAATAAGAAAATTAATGATATCATAATTGGAAACAAAGGGATAGTGGAAAGAATGAAGTGCTAGAACATAAAAAGGGAGACATAGATGTAATACTTAGAGTTAGCAGGTGCAGCCTTTCTAAGGGATAGGACATTCATCCTGAGACTAAAGGATGAGAAGAATCAGCCTACAAAGTGCCCACATCTAAGGATTCTGGTCAGATGAAACCATCTGTGGAAAGCATCAAGTGATACAGAAGGTTGTACCATATCCTAAATTCTGAAAAGAAGGAGCCAGGGTGCAGGGGAGTCAGTGTTTGGACATGATACCATATAAGTAAGGAGGAGTCCTGCTGTCCTCAGAAAGGGGTTTGGATCATATTCCAAGAGTAAAGACAAACGTAGGATGAATTCTTTTTTTTTTTTTTTTTTAAATTTTTTTAATGTTTTATTTATTTCTAGGAGAGAGAGAGAGAGAGAGAGAGAGAGACAGTGTGAGCAGGGGAGAGTCAGAGAGAGAGGGGTCACAGACTCCGAAACAGGCTCCAGGCTCCAAGCTGGCAGTCAGCACAGATCCCGACGCGGGGCTCGAACCCACGAACCGCGAGATCATGACCTAAGCGAAAGTCGGACGCTTAACCGACTAAGCCACCCAGGCGCCCCAAACGTAGGATGAATTCTTAACCTTTGATCTTCATTTAAATCAGTGATAGAAAGATTCAAAATAAGATACCATCCAAGGTATTTTTTTCCTCTCACTTTTAATGTAGTTGTCTGTGACCCAGGCAGGATATCAGATTTATAACAGGCTTGCCAAAGATCGTGGCTCACACTTAAATTTCAGGGACTTCACTATCTTACATAACTTCACATACATCTCTGAACTCTTGACCTTTCAAAATTTTCATAACCATATTTTACAATTCAATAAGCACTTCATTTATTACAAGTGTTGGTTCATATTTCTTTCATAGAAGTTCCATATTCTCTAGTATAAGAAATATAAATATTTTTCATTTTTCTTCTTTTCTTTCAGATTTGAATTTACATTGTGAGGTAATCAGCTATCTAGAAATACCCACTTATGAAAAAGATGTATCTTCTATACAACATCAGAGCATATGTAACAGAGAAAAACTCTATGAATGTAAGAAATGTCAGAAGAAATTTAGTAGTGGCTATCAATTTATTCTACATCACAGGCTTCATATTGACGAAAGACCCTATGAATGCAAAGAATGTGGGAAGAACTTTCGTAGTGGCTATCAACTTACCCTACATCAAAGATTTCATACTGGTGAGAAACCCTATCAATGTACAGAATGCGAGAAGAACTTTAAAAGCGGCTATCAACTTACTGTACATCAGAGATTTCATACTGGTGAGAAAACCTATGAATGTAGGGAATGTGGGAAGACCTTTATCTATGCCTCACACATCGTTCAGCATGAGAGAATCCACACTGGTGGGAGGCCTTATGAATGTCAGGAATGTGGGAAGGCCTTTAGTCAAGGTGGACACCTTAGAATTCATCAAAGAATTCATACTGGTGAGAAACCCTACAAATGTCAGGAATGTGGGAAGGCTTTTAGTAGGCGTTCAAACCTTGTTGAACATGGGCAAATCCATACTAATGAGAAACCTTATGTATGTGAGAAATGTGGGAAGGCCTTTAAAAGAAGTCATCAACTTACTGTACATCAGGGTGTTCATACTGGTAAAAAACCATATGAATGTAAAGAATGTGGAAAGGGCTATACCACTGCCTCATACCTTATTCTACATCAGAGAATTCATAAAAGTGGGAAACCATATGAATGTAAGGAATGTAAGAAAACCTTTACCTTGTATAGGAATCTTATTCGACATCAGCATATTCACACTGGTGAGAAACTTTTTGAATGTAAGCAGTGTGGAAAGACCTATACTACTGCCTCAAAACTTTTTCAGCATCAGAAAACTCACACTGGTGAGAAGCCTTATGAATGTAAGGAATGTGGAAAAGCCTTTAGCTTATATGGATACCTTCATCAACATGAGAAAATTCATACCGGTGTGAAACACTTTGAATGTGAAGAATGTAAAAAAACCTTTACTTTGTATCGAAATCTTATTCGACATCAGAGTAGTCATACTGGTAAGAAACTTTTTGAATGTCAGGAATGTGGGAAGGCCTATAGTACTGCCTCAAACCTTGTTCAACACCAGAAAACTCATACTGGTGAGAAACCTTATGAATGTAAAGAGTGTGGAAAGACCTTTAGCTTGCATGGATATCTTAATCAACATAAAAAAATTCATACTGGTGTGAAACCCTATGAGTGTAAGATATGTAGGAAAACCTTTACTTTCTATAGAAATCTTACTCTACACCAGAGTATTCATACTGATGAGAAACCTTTTAGATGTAAGGAATGTGGGAAGACCTTTAGACGTAGTTCACACCTTACTGCACATCAGAGTATCCATGCTGATAAGAAACCCTATGAATGTACGGAATGTGGGAAATCCTTTAAAATGTATGGATACCTTACACAACATCAGAAAATTCATACTGGTGAGAAACCCTATGATTGTAAGGAATGCGGGAAGACCTTTAGTCGTGCTTCAAACCTTGCTCAACATGGGAGAATTCATACTGGTGAAAAACCCTACATGTGTAAGAAGTGTGGGAAAGCCTTCAGATATGGTTCAGCCCTTAAAGCACATCAGGGAATGCATACAGATATGAAACTCTAAGAACATAAGGAAGGTGAGAATGCCTTTAGGCGTGGCCTGAACTTTTCTACATCAGCCAGTTCACAATGGTGAGAAAGTATTGAATATTAGTCTTTATAGGCATGTCTTCACCAAATGAGAGAATTCATAACACAGTTATTGTCATTTTATAAAGATTTCAGTGTCATTCTTGTTTAAATGGAATGCCTGACTATTTAAACAATGGCAGATTAAACCCTGAATAGCCAAAGGAATCTTGAAAAAGAACAAAACTAGAGGTATCACAATCCCAGATTACAAGATATAGTACAAAGCTTTAGTAATCAAAAACAGTATGGTACTGGCATAAAAACAGACACATAGATCAATAGAACAGAATAAAGAATTCATAAATAAACCCATGACTATATGGTCAATTAATTTTCAACAGAGAAGGCAAAATTATGCAATGGAAAAAAAAAAGTCTCTTCAATAAATGATGCTGGGAAAATTAGACCACTTGCTTACACGATACACAAAAATAAACTCAAAATGGATTCAAGACCTAAATGTGAGACAGGAAACCATTAAAATCCTAGAAGCCAGAATAGACAGTAATTTCTCTGACATCATCCATAGCAACATTTTTCTAGATAGATCCCTGAGGTAACGGAAGCAACAAAAATAAATTTTGGGGACTACATCAAAATAAAAAGCTTTTGGGACGCTTGAGTGGCTCAGTTGGTTAAGTGTCCAACTTTGGCTTAGGTCATGATCTCATGGTTTGTGAGTTTGAGCCCCATGTTGGGCTCTGTGCTGACAGCTCGGAGTCTGGAGCCTGCTTCAGATTCTGTGTCTCTCTGCACCTCACCTGCTTGTGTGCTATTCATTCTCTCTCTCTCTCTCTCTCTCTCTCTCTCTCTCTCTCTCTCTCATAAACAAAAAAAATTTAATGTATTTATTGATTTCTGAGAGAGAGAGAAGCAGCATGAGCAGGGTAGGGTCAGAGAGAGAGGGAGACAAAGAATCCTGAAGAAGGCTCCAGGCTCTGAGCTAGCTGTCAGCACAGAGCCTGACACGGGGCTTGAACGCACAAACCATGAGATCATGACCTGAGTTGAAGTCGGACACTCAACTGACTGAGCCACCCAGGCGCCTCTAAAAAAATTTTTTTTAATAAAAAGCTTTTGCACAGCAAAAGAAGCAGTCAACAAAACTAAAAGGCAACCTACTGAATGGGAGAAGTTATTTGCAAATGACATATCCAATAAAGGGCTAGTACCCCCAAAATATAAAAAACTTACAGAAACACACACACAATCTAATTTAGAAATGAGAAGACATGAACAATTTTTTCTCCAAATAAGACAAGATGACCAACAGACATATGAAAAGATGGTCAACATCACTCATCATCAGGGAAAAGCAAAACAAAACCATAATGAGATACCATGTTATAACTGTCAAGATGGCTAAAATTAACAGCACAAGAAATAGCAAGTATTGGTGAGGACGTGGAGAAAAAGGAAACATCAGGCACTGTGGTGGCAATGCAAACTGGTATAGCCACTGAAGAAAACGGTATGCAGGTTCCTGAAAAAAATAAGAATAGAATTACTGTAGGACCCAGTATTTCCACTACTGGATATTTACCCAAGGAATATGAAAACACCAATTTGAAAAGATATTTGCACCCTCATGTTTATTGCAGCATTATTTACAATAGCCAAACTATGGAAGTGGCCCAAGTGTCCATCAACTGATGAATGGATAAAGTTGCGGGGCATATCTACAGTGGAATATTATTCAGCCATAAAAAAGAATGAAATCTTGCCATTTGCAATAACATGGATGGATCTAGAGGCTGTAGCCTCTACAATGCTACATAAAGTAAGTCAGTGAAAGACAAATACCATGTGATTTCCCTCATATGTGGAATTTAAGAAACAAAACAAGGGGCACCTAGGTGGCTCAATTGGCTAAGCATCCAACTCTTCATCTCCGCTCAGGTCATGATCTCATCATCATCTCATGAGATCAAGCCCTGTGTCATGCTCTGCACTGACAGCGTAGAGCCTGCTTGGGATTCTGTCTCTCTCTCTCTCTCTCTTTCCCTCCCCATCTTGTGCACTCTCTCTCTCTCAAACTTAAATAAATAAACTTTAAAAAATAAGAAACAAATGAAGAAAAAATAGACAAACCAAAAAGCAGACTCTTAGAGAACAGATGGTTGCTACTGTGGGGAGTAAGGGAGGATGGGTAAAACTGATGAAAGGGATCAAGATCATGATGAGCATTGGGTAATGTATAGGATTGTTGAATCACTATATTGTACACCTGAAGGTAATATAACACTGTATGTTAACTATACTGTAAAAAAATTTTAATAAATAATGACCAATTAGGGGAAGAATAGGATCTCAATTTTTTCATGCCTACAACATGCATTGAGTTTTTAGCTAAATTTGTCAATTTAATGAATGGTTAAAAGGCTTCCATAATAATCAATGGCTGTGTTACAAATTACCCTGAATCTTAATGACTTGTCATAATAATAAACAGCTCTCACAGTTTCTGTGGGTCAGAAATTCAGGAATGATTGGCTGAGTGCTTTTGGATTGGGTTTTTCATGAGATTTCAGTCATCTGAAGGCTTGACTAGGCGTGAAAGATCCAGCCTCTAGGTGGTTCACTCAAACTGGCTGCTAGGGTAGAGAGAGTGTGTCAGGAAAAGACCATCCACATCCACGGCAAACCTAATTTAGGTAAGGAAATCCTGGACTTGCAGTTGATGCTGTAAATGGGTGAGCCTTCTGGTGCTTCTTGAGTGTATTTTGTATGTGGTAGGAATGTAAACAATTTGTACTCAGAGGACCACTGGTCGCATTTGAAAAACATGTCCAAAAGGGGCACCTGGGTGGCTCAGTCGGTTAAGCGTCCCAGTTCGGCTCAGGTCATGATCTCTCAGTTCGTGGGTTCTAGCCCCGCATCAGGCTCTCTGCTGACATCTAGCTCAGAGCCCGGAGCCTGCTTCCGATTCTATGTCTCCCTCTCTCTCTGACCCTCCTCTGCTCTCTCTCGCTCTCTCTCAGAAATAAATATAACATTAAATTTTTTTTTAATATGTCCACAAATTCTTTGAAACTGTGCCCTTCAAAACAAGCCTAATTCCCTGCACCCAGTCACTTGCTTGTAAATGAACAGAATGCTAGATTTCTCGTGCTTACTCACTCAGCTAGATTTCCTCTTCTCTGCCTTGGGCTTCAACTTTGCCTATGGCCCTTTCATGGGAATTTCACTGAATGGTGATTCTCTTAAGTATCTCTTTAGATCTTTCTGAGGTCTTAACCAAGGGATTTTTCTTATTCTGGAGGCCAGATCCCCTGCTAGGAGAAGCATAATTGACAGCCCCCTGTTCCCTGTCTGAAATAACCACCATGTTTATGTTGAGGCCATTCTTTAGCACAATGTGGATAATAATACAGGTCAATTCTTGTAAGATCCAGACCTCCTCAACCAGGCAACTGTATCAAGAACTCATCAGCTTGGCTGAAACTTCATAGAACTGTTCTGCCTTTTATGGTTTCCCTACATAGTCTCCCTCCTCCCCTCCTACAGACTTGTCATCCTGGCCTGAAGACTCATTACTTTCCTTGGCTCTCTTTTTCCTTTACAGGCATTTACCCCATTATCCTTTATGCACCTAATTCTATGTCATTATTTGCTTTTCAAAGGATCGAGATGAACATACCCCTCTACTTTCTTTTATAATTTTTTTTAATGTTTTTATTTATTTCTAGGAGAGAGAGAGAGAGACAGCGTGAACAGGGGAAGGTCAGAGAGAGAGGGAGTCACAGACTGAAACAGGCTCCAGGCTCCGAGCTGGCAGTCAGCACAGAGCCCAACGCGGGGCCCGAACCCACGAACCGCGAGATCATGACATAAGCGAAAGTCGGACGCTTAACCGACTAAGCCACCCAGGCGCCCCCCCTCTACTTCCTTTTAGATTATATTTTCCTAGCAGTGCTCTGGATTGGATCTTTGTCCAGAGACCATTTCTGAAGTTTACCATGATTCTGGAGAGTCTGGAACAAGTGGATAACTACTCCTAACGCCTCTTTTCAGCATTGGTAGTAGTGCAGTTAGGCAAGAAAACGAAATAAAAGGATTGTAGTTTGGATGGGAAGAACAAACTATCTGCCAGTGATGTGATCTGGTATATAGAAAATGTGGGAGAATCCATAGGAAAAAAAAATTAGGGCTAATAAATGAGCTAAGCAAGGTAGCAGGATATAAGATCAGTATACAGAAAACAAGTGTATTTCTATATGCTTACAATTAATCTGAAAATGAAATTAAAACAAATATAAAACAATTTATAGTAGCATTAAAAAGATCAAATACTGAGTTGCAAATTTAACAAGAGAAGTGCCAAACTGTATACTGAAAACATTAGGAAAGAAATTAAAGATTATCTAAATAAATGGAAAGGTAACCCATATTAATGAATCAGAATATTTAATATTGTTAAGATAGTAATAGTTTCCAAGTTGATGTAAAAATTCACCATAATTCCTATCAAAATCCTAGGTGACTTTATTACAAGCTGATCCTAAAATTGATACAGAAATGCAAGGGACCCAGAATTGTTTAAAAAAGAAAAAAAAAAGTTTTAAAAAGAGGAAAATAAAAGCAATCATTCTTTCCAATTTCAAAACTTAGTAACAGAGCTGCAGTAATCAAAGCAATGTGGTCCTGGCATTTATTCCGTGTGTGTGTGTGTGTGTGTGTGTGTGTGTGTGTAATTGAGAGTCCTGAAATAAACCAATAGATGTATGGCCAATGGATTTTCAGTAAGGATGGCAGTACATTTTACATTTTATTGGGGAGTAGAGTGGGGAAGAGAGAGCCTTTTTCAACAAATGATTCTGTGTCCAATGCATATTTACATGCAAAATCATGAAATTGGATCTCTTCACACCAGCTACAAAAATTAACACAAAATAGATCAAATGTAAGTACTTAAACTGTATATTTTAGGCTATATAGGAGAAAATCTTTGTGCTCTTCAATTAGATTGTTTTTATTTTTTTATTTTTATTTTTTAAATGTTTTTTAATGTTTATTTTTGAGAAAGAGACAATGTGAGCAGAGGAGGGGCAGAGAGAGCTAGAGACACAGAATTGGAAGCAAGCTTCAGGCTCTGAGCTGTCAGCACAGAGCCCGATGTGGGGCTTGACTCACGAACCATGAGTTGATGACCTGAGCCAAAGTCGGATGCTCAACCGACTGAGCCACCCAGGCATCCT